GCTCACTTGCCCCTTTGCATTCAATTGCACTATAATCATAACCTTAAAATGCAAGCCTTTCACACTTGTTGGTGTTAGACTGGTGGCGGCTGATAAAACCTGTTCGCTCTAGTGACGTCTAACCCCTGGGCCCGTTTGCTCGAATCGCTAACCGCGGCTAAAGTTAGCCGCAGTACCTAGGAGAGGGATTTTGAAATCACGTGACTGGCTCGGTAGGGATGCGGGGAAACATGGCGGTGCCCCGGTGAGTGAGCGCCGCTCGCTTTAAAACTAATATGTCGTTGTAGCTGCGATATCGGGCGCGTCAGTCAGCAACGAATGGTGCAGGAGGCATTCGCTTTGCCTTACCTCAATTAAATCGCAAAGGAGGAGAGATGACCTCGCCGCATCTTTTAGATGGTTTTTCGATTCTGGCTATTCCGAAGCCTAAATGATCGCGATAATTGTTGGCATGGCAACTTCTTTGGAAAGCTGATTGCCTTGACTCAATCGGCCGGGTATTGATAGCACACAAAGCAGACAGTCCGTTTTACAACCTACATCTAGGATAACGACAACTCGTTGCGTTCCTCAGTGATTCTTGGCGTACGACCTTGGTCACTGCGAGAGCGAGATCGAATTTGCGCCTCAGGGAACAAGCTAAGGTAGTGTTCGAAGAGTGCTTGTCTGCTAACGCAAGCCAAGAACTGGGTTTATGTGCGTAGAAGTGCCATTTGCAGGCAAATATGAAACAGAAAAATGCTGCACATCGTGTGATAACGGACCGAGAAGAAGTGGATAACCTGCTACGAACAGCAGCAAAATTGGGCTCGGGCTGAAATTGTGGTTGTCTGCTATTTCACGTTGGACGCGATTGACATCCCGCACCTTCTTTTGCAAACCTCAGGTTGTTCTGCTGCCGCAGACGAACTGACTGCCTGACTGGTGAATCAAGGAGCACTGCATGGGGAGTACTCGGGACGAGGGCTCTCTCGTTATGGGTTAGTGAGAAGTTCCTACCAAAATATAGCCGGATCGTGAACTCCCGAACAGGTTAAAAACGTGTGACAGGTAGATGACGTGCACCCAGCAGAAAGCTGTGACGATACGTCCAATCAACAGCCAACAAATTTCTCGCTCTTACACGGGACTAAGATCGGACCGCGTGACGTATTTTCTTGTAGTTCGGGGTAGAGCACTATATATAGCTCCTACGGAGCAGAGTAGCGCAATCCTTTGATCCGCGTGTTTCGCCGACAACATGGCCGACAGAGCAGCTCAGCGCGAGTCACGTGGTACTCAGGGTTATAGGAGGCGGCCCGCCCTATGCGAGAATACATGGAGATCGACTCAACACGGCTGATTAAAAAATAAACGCCAAGTTTACACTTTTCGAAACTATTCTGTCGTGAAGTTGGTAAAACAATAAACACTTCATCAAAGTTTTAATAATATTGGATGCGTGTGAAAATTTTACGAAGGTAATTTTCGAAGCAATGGCGTTTGAAGCAGACGATTGTTTTACGCAGCGAAGATGGAGTTTATGGATTGGCCGGAGCGAGTCACGTGAACGGTGTGACGTCGCCGCGTCGTCTGCTGCATGATGCCGCTCTGGCTATTTAAAAAAAAAAAAAAAAAAATTAAGTTATTTCATGGCGCACAACTTAGCGCAAATTATTGTAAACTATTCCCTTATTATGTCAAAAACTATTGTCGTTCCATAGATCGCCAAAATAATCAGGAAGCAGCGATTTACTCCCGTTCCCCATGCATTTGTGGCCAGAGTTGGAACCCCCGGGCGTTCGCTGCTAGTCGCCGAGAGACGGCGTTCTAGATTGCGGTACTCTGCTCCGAAGGAGCTATTCGCGACTCCAGCAAAACGGACGCCACCAAGCGGGAAAACCGCGAACCAGCCGGTCCAGGTCGCTCCGCGCCCCTCCGCGTCTCTGGTGGCTTTCGCGGACACGTGTTGTCGGCGCGGTGGCGAACAATGTAAGCTGACGAAGGTCCGAAAATTTCTAAAGTTTGCCTGAGTGTTCATTAGTGTGGTGAAGCCTCAGTAGATTGTTTTCGTCCATCATGTGTTTGAAAGCCCGTTTACTCCATAACACACGGTCGCGTGCTTTCGATTTCTTGGATGGGGAGGAGTCGCGGAAAAACGTTTTTATTTCTTGTCTCTCTAATCACATTCGAAGTGACGACTAGTTGGTAACTGATGAGTGGTTTCTTTATAAGAATGTAGAACAGTAGACTGAGGACGACAGACGAGGCATTTCACTGGAGGAAACACCAATGTTGATGTCAAGTGAATGGGAATGTCCGATAGATGCTTTTCTTGAGTTTGGTTGTGTTCGGTTAGCTTCAAAGTTTGAGCCACCCACGTCGGTCGGTGTGTTTGTTATTCATCTTGGCTGCTTTTCGCCGAAAAAGCCTCTGGACCACACCGGAGTACTTAGGCTGATTTCGCAATTACTTCATTCGGGAAAACCTGCTCGCTGCAAATGATGAATGAGAGAAATTATCTGTTTTCTAAAGGTGGGGGACGAGTCTCGCAACGTTAGAAGCTGTCACCGCATTTTGATCTATCGCGCCTCCAATGTTTATATTATACCCTCGTTGAAGCCAGCAGCAATATACGTCTACATTGCTCAGGTTGACCGGCCACAAAAAAATACTAATTTTTTCGTTCAAGATTCGAAGCGAAGTTCAATGCCCAGAAAGGTTCTGCGTAAATCTCCGATGAAGACTCTCTTCAGTTTGTCTCCGTATGCCGGCTAGAACCATTTGGCTAAGTTTAAGTAGTATCTCTCTGTCTGTCAAATATACTTTTATTCAGCAGTTCACCTAATAGCTAGTCAACTAAGCTCATACTTCAACCCGAAGAATATACTAATATCGCTTTAGTGGGACATAGCAGGTAATATAATACATAACCCGCTCGTCAAGATGACTTCTCGATTGCTACTAAAACCTGAATTGAAATACGAGTATCAGCTGCTTAGTGGGGCGCCGGCGTCCTTGGCTCAAGAAGCGCTTGCTTAATTTGCGTGATTTTCCTGCAGCCTGCGTTGGTGACCGAGCAGACGACTGGAGCTGTTTCTTAAACGCGGGTACGCACAAAAGCTCGATTTCGCGGACAGATAAGTCGCATGGTCGAGGCATGCGACTTAGCTGAAGATTACTCTCGGTGGAACAATTCTGTAATCATCGCCGCTTTCCTTAGATGCTCAAAACGGATTAGTATATTACCGTCTTTCCGGAGCCCATAGTTTCGGTTTTGAACGAAATCTTCGAAACGAAAGTTTCACATGAAAAGAACAAAAAACACCGGGAAAACAAAACTATGCTTTGCGAGTTTATGTGCACCAGCTACACTTAACCGTTTCAGTTGAAATACCTATAAAATTGGGCATTAAACAAAAGGAAATCTGTTAAATTGAACGCGCCACCTGTTCAGGCGGCCCAGCCGAGCCGACGCGACCTGGACTCAGCCGCCATGTTTGTTTGGTGGTGGCGCCCCCTATAGGTAGCTGGAGTCGCGAATATAGTGCTCTAGTTCGGGGGACACTCCTGCGCGTGATCGGTAAAGGACGCGGCTCAACAGACCAGTCCAAGTCGCGTTCCACGCAGCGTAGTAGCAATGCCCGGCGTCGCTCAAGCGGCTGCCATTATGGGGCCACACGTCTTGAACTGGAGGGCTTACCGCGTCCTGAAAACTGGTCCCTCGGTTACCGCCCGATGACGTCATGCAAGTGCCATGCTGTCGTCTGCGGCGATCCTGGTGGTGTCATAGCAGCGGGGGTGAACGTGACTGCCCCCTGTTCTGCTGCGGGTCGCTCTCCAGCTTGGCAGTCCACGAAAGCTTTTGCAGCCAGGAGTTTAAGCGCCGCGACGACAGCGACACTCTAGTTTCCCCGTGCTTTTTTCCTGAACTTCTACGCCCGTGATGACTTTAACTACGGTCTCCTGTATACTGACAAGGCCCGGCAGATCGCCACGAAAATCGGCCGCCGAAATGGAAAAGGTGGAGCGGCAGACAACGGATGAGGGGAGAGCCACGTGACTGGCGCCCCGCTGCGGCGAGACGCTGAAACGCAGAGTCTCGCCGCTGCCACGAGACGCTGCGGCGAGACGCGAGGACCCGAAAGAGTGTTTCGGGTCCTCGCCGCTGCAAAAGACGTGCGCTGACGTCCAGGTTCCCCGAGAAATGGCTCTTTGATGCTCTGTGCGACCAGATCCTCGCGCTCCAAATCTGCGACCGAGCACTCCATGGTTCCATCGTCGAGCTGCCAGGCTTTGTGAGTATAGAGGAGGCTAGAGTGCCTTCATACACACGCGCGCTTTTGCGTGAGTGGTGACATCTCAGCCATTTTTCCGCCCAATCTTTTTTTATGCATTTTGAAGTGCGGGCAATCTGGTGTCGCTCAGCTCGAGCGCGTAGCTTTGGCTAATGCATAGGCGCCATTTTACCACCCAAGTCACGCACCGAGTGCGCGAGAGCGTCACGCGCTGGCACACTCAGCACAACAATGGATGTCTTCACCCTGAGACAGACAGACATGTAGGCACCCTAGAGGAGGCTATGCTTTAACCCAAGACTGGGGCAAAAAGATAAAAAAAATATATTGGCGTTGATGGCAAACGAAAGGACACACAACGTCTCTAAAGAGGCATTGGGAAAGACAAAGTTATTATATATGCGTTGTCTGTCTCGGTTTCTTTTTCTACCGCTGTCAAGTGCCTTTCCTCCCTTTGCTCCAGTCTCGGGTTAAGGTAATCACGGTAAACTTCCACCAGCTCGCCCGCGCACTGACTATTCTACGTTTAGCCGCCAGGATCGCGACATCCGACAGCATAACACACCGGCTTTCGTGACGTCATTTGTTTCCTCATCTGGAGTACTTTCGATGCATGGGCGGAGTAGGACGCTAAACACTCCAGTCAGAGACGCGTTAAAGGCAGCGTATTTCGATAATTCACTGTCAAGCACCATAGCAGCCTAGTGGCCGTTGGAAACGCACGTGGCAATAGCAGAGATAGCGCAGCTTCTTCTTGAGCAGAGATATGCTGATGGCTTGCCAGAGCCGGCTCACTTCGCTGGTGCAGAACAGGTCGCTCACTGGCACGCACTCCAGGATCCTGCGCACGATGAGGTAGTCCGTGCACGCGACACTTTCCATCCGCCGCCCACGTTAAATTTTGACCCACCCCCGAATCTTGAGCCGAATGTGTGGGCGTCCACCGAGACGGAGTTACATCTTCGTCGGCGGAACAGAGCGCTCTGGTGGACAGAAGCGCCCGCGCCCTGCCGCCGACTTCGTTCTTCTTCCACCAGCCTCGAGGAAATGCCCGTGCATGCTTTTGTCCACCGACTACTCGGAGAGGCCCTGCCATCCGTCTGCAGAGCTTTGTTGGACGAGTGACGAAGCGCTATGGACGACGCAGTAATAACGGTTTGACTGAAAAATGAAGGCTGCGCACTGTAGAACTAAGCGTGACGTTCGACGTGCTCTGTTTAGTATCGCTTCGCAGACTAAATGTCTAGGAGAAGTTTTCTTTTTATCGCCGTGATTCGCGGTTTTCAAAGTCAGAGTTTTTTTTGCTTTATATAGCAATGTTCTCCAGCTTGTAACCCTTTCCCCCTTCCCCCCGTAGATAGTTTTTTCCGTCCCGCAACGCTCTCGGCAACCCGCTACGACAACCGGAACTCCGCAGTCAAGGCCAACGGCGCGCATATAGCGGCGTCTTCGTGGTGGAGAGCGTAGCGGAGTGGGGAAAACGGTCTACGAAAACTCGCTATTCACACGAACGGAGGAGACCAAGCGGTGAGCCGAGAGGGATGTCAGTGCCATCAGACGCATTTAGCGGTCGTACTCTCGTCAAATGGGGCTCGGTGCGCGCTGACGAGAGTAAGAAAATTGAGGCGTACGTGAAACGGTGATACGCAATTATGGCAGCAGCGCTGTTAGATTCAGAAGACGGCCATCTGCTTCCTGCTAAAAGAAAGATGCTTCTTGAATGGGTGGATGCAACAGAAGGGACGTGTGATCAAGAAAACTTTCAGCCTTTCCACTCTGCTGAAGAAGAGACCAGCGAAGCTGTACTATGGTGGGAATGAAGTAATGGACGGCCGCAAGTCGGCAAGCTTGAGTGGGAAGGCTGGACAGCTACCGCCATTTATGAGCGACGGTGGCAATCAAACCGCCGGCAAGTCGGTTGTCTAGTTGCCGCCGTCGCTAATAGATGGCGGTAGCTGTCCGAAGTGTCGTGTCATCATTTGTTTGCTGACGGATGCAGTACTGGGGAAACTAGCCCTTAAAGGGATTGTCCGGTGGAAACCGGAAGTTCTTAAGTTTTTGCGCTCCTTAGGTCTAGGAGCCTCCATATAGACAAACGCCATTTTTATTTTTATATAATATAATAATAATAATAATAATAATAATAATAATATATATTAATGAAACTAGTCATGAGCGTGTGTGCGAAACTGTACCCCGAATTTCGCCAATGTCAGTGGCTGACATTCTGCCGTTACGTGTGACGTAATATCAGGATTCGATCGTCGGCATTGCAGGCAATTCGTGCTCGCGGGAGTTGGATTATCTTCTTCGGTGGGTGTTTTGTATTTTGTTTCTTTTTATACTCTATTTTAGGTTGTTCTAAGTTCAGCTGTTCAACAACAACAACAACAACAAAAACAACAACAACAACAACAACAAAAACAAAACACGCACGCACGCACGCACGCACGCGCGCGCGCGCACACACGCGCACACACGCACACACACACACACGCACACACACACACACACACACGCACACACGCACACACACACGCACACACACACACACACACAAAAAAAACAAAAAAAAAACGCCACTTTGATTGAGATATTATTTCAAGACGGCCGTGAACTTGGAGCAACTATCCGGGCGTTCCTCGGATTGACATATCCTTGTTTGCAAAGAGTTACCACACCTTTGCGAAGAGGATGGCCAAGGCTGCCTATTTTTCTGACGGTATCTGTAACCGAGCATTGCCATGAATAGTAAAGATAATCCGTAATTGCATGCCGGCAATCTCCCCGCTAAATTTAGCGGTGCATTGTCGTCACGTGACTAACGTGACCACGTCATTTGACCGCTTGTCACGTGACTTTAATTTGTTCGAGGAGGTTCTCCGGTGTGGTAGTTTACGGCCGACACATTCTGTGCTTCTTGGTTTTTTCCAGCATGATCAAGTTTGTGAAATTTTTATCGTGCCTGTTAGCGGGCTGGGTCCTCCACGACGAGCATGGCCGGCTCTCTGCGCACAGAGGAACGAGAGCTCTCCGCGAGCTTCCATTCGGCGGTCGGCGCCACCTGCATCGCCAAGGCGATCGGGGTTCCTCATCTAGCATTCCCCTGCGCGGGAAGATTGACTCCCCCTTTCCTCGTGCATTTGCGCGTTCCGCGCATATTTGTCCCTAATGTCGGGCGAGAAAGCTCGCCCAGGACGCGTCGGACGCAGGCTCGCGGTAGAATTGCAGGAATGCGCGATGAGGAAGTACGACACGAATCGACGTCGTAGAGTAATGCCGTCTCCGCTCGAGGCTCGCGTGTCCAACCACGAACACCTAAGGTGCTATTCGCTAAACACGAGGACACACCCGTTGGCGAATTTTTGTTGAGAATGAAGCTTAGCATTGTTATGCCATGAGGTGGAAAGTGCTTGTTGTGGTAGCTCATACACTAAAGTCATGAACCCACAATCATTTGACCTGGGACGGCCGTGAACCTCCAAGAAAAAAAAAAATCGTCTTAAAGCAAACTACAGTGGAACGCCGTATAGACGAAGGACTCAGCACATTCAAATATTTTTGCTTGTTTTTGAAAGCCAGTGTTTCTGTTTTGTTGCGTTTTTCGACTGACCTTCGAGTATCAGCAGTGGTAGGACAAGTGTGTCTTAGGGTTCTTCGAGTACATCAACAATACAGAATTCTCTTTAGTACATTAGCGGTCGCAGAGTGTGCTGCTGTTAAAAAAAAAACAAAAAAATTCCACGCTCCTCGTGTTTTTTTTTTTGCAGCATAACAACTATTTTGAAAACTAGATCGTAGAATGCGGTTATGGGGAACACTAATTCACTTAAAACCAGCCAATCTGGTTTTACGAAGGACATTCAAGTTCTAAGATATCATAATTTATTTGCGAAAATTTAAACGAAACAGAAATAAAACTCTTCGTCACTTCTCTACACAGTCCCATTATGTGCTACACTGCGAAGACTTTCCCGGGCATGTGCCGAGCCCAGTGGGGTATCGATAACGCGAAAACGACGCGCGCTAAAAAAAAACAAAAAAAAACTTTTAAGCATGGAGAGTGTCCTTCGTGATTAGAAACAGCCAAAAATTGCCGGGCACAAGTTCAGGGGACTAGGAAGCGTGACGAACCGGTTCAAGGTTGTCTCCGGGAAGAAACTATTTGCACCTCGTCCGATGAGCAGCATCCTTGTCGTGATGGGAGGCTGGGAACTCCTTTGGTCGTTTTTTCTCCAATGCAAACTCTTCTCCAGAACGTCTCTGTAGGATGCAGCCGTCGCACAGAGCGCGACATTGTTAGGGCGAACAAGCGATCGCCAGTTTTTTGTGTTTTTCTCTTAGAACCGAAAGGCTGTCATCAAATATATCATTGTTCTAGAAAAAGCACATCTAGGGCTCTAATATAAGCGGTAAAATAGCGCGCCTACTAATACTCTTTTTAATAAAACGCGAAAAGGCGCCGATGTCGTGTTCGCGCTTACAGTGTCACGATGTGTACCTTTCAGCCGCGCTCACGCTAACAAACGATACTGTCTTGGGCGTGTTCTTTGCTTGAGCCCCGTCCCATTGGTCGTACAAAAACCGTCCGCAGACATGCTCGAAGATTTCGTGAAGCCAGCATGCTTTTTAGATGCTTGAGGCCGCATATAATTCTGGCATCGTGTCTGCCGGGAACATCGTCTCTTTTGTACGACGTACGAGGTGAGTGACCGATACAGTGGGTCAGGATGGCGCCGTCCCAGAACGAGGGCACCGCGTCACCGCCGCGCTGGCGGTAACGCGAAACGGGCGGCGGAGGGTCGCGGGGATTTTATCGCTAGAACTAATGTTTGGCTTCGGGCCTGAAAAAAGAAAGGTCAGTCTTAAGGGCCGCCCACACTAGCGAGAAAACGCGCCCGGCGCGCCGATAAATCGGTTAAGCGGGAAGATAAAGGGCGTGTCTCTGCACGTGCTCGTGGCGCTGACTGTGCTTCGGCGACATTTTGTTACTTGCCGCGATCGGCGTGCCACGCGCGTTTTCTCGCTAGTCTGGGCGGCCCCTTATGCGGATAGACCGATCTCACCAAGCGTTCCACGCATGCGTGACGCCGCCATAACTGTAGTTCGTAGGAGGCAGACGCCAGTTCACGAGATAGCTCATGCCGCCTCGTGCTCTGCTCGCGCAGACCTCCAGCGGGGTTGTCGCGCGTGCAGAAAGACTACAGCTTTCGCGATGCATGTCGGCTGCGGTGGCGTACTCAAACTAGCTGGTGAGATCGGTCTATTTACGGTACAGTCGCGGCGAAGGCTGCGGTATACACCATTTGCTATATTGCCCAAGCATCAAGGAGAATGCAGGGATTGGTGTTCCACGCGCCACACGCGCACGCCTTCCCCGTATAAAATATTCGAAGTAAATAACCAAAATAAAGCGTTCACGAACGCGCGTGCAAGATGTTATTTGTTTTAGGTATTTGCTTTAGAAAAGTTGCAACTGCTGACGCCACCACGTGCGGCGCGTGGAACACCAATCCCTGCACGCTTGGGTAATATTGGTGACGTGAGCGATCGAAAGAGTCGTCAGCAAAGGATGCCTCATCGACGAAAATAAGAATGTAAGAACTTCAATTTTGACGGTGTTGGCAGTGTTGGTTTCAGAGCGCTATGATTTCAGGCTTCCACCGTGCCCATTACAAGCACCATCGAACTTGTTCACAAGGTAATGACGTCATGAAAGGTAACCGAACGAGGGCGCCACCGAAACATTTCGCCGCTAATAGCACTAGGTATAGACCTTTCCAGAAAAGGGCTGCTGGCCGGTTTCATTTTCAGTGTTCGTGCGTATTGCGTGTGATTTGCTCGCTTTCCGAAGCGACGCACACGCGCGTGCTGAGCTGTGG